ATTCATTAAGGGGTCGCGGAGTCCAAATTGTTTTCACTTTTGAACCTGAGGGTAAGGTGAACCTAATTCCAAAATTTCATGCAAATTGGAGCACAGTAAAAAAATTCAGAGGTTATACCCTTTTTTCTTCTCCGTTTACTGCACTATTTTTTTTATAGTTTTATAACTTAGCAGCAAGTGAATCAAAATTTTGAGAATAACATTGTGTATAGAATAGAAATATTTATATGTGGCATGCGTTGCAGTGGGTAATCATCCATTAATTTCGTGTTAGCTACTCCTTTCGTTTATATGCCATACACTTCTACATTTACAATCACTTAGTTTTTTTCTAGTTTGGTGGTCCAGCTAGTATAAATATTTATATATATATATATATATATATATATATAAATTTATTTTTTATATATGTGTATGGTTCCAATTGATCCTTTATTCAAAAAAAAAAGTTTGGGGCTAATAAATTCAACTTGCCCTTGTCAGTTGTCAAGATTTCAATCTACTACCCTTACAGATTAAACCCCAAATAAAATACAAATACAAATATAATATATATATATATATATGTATATATAATATATATATATATATATATATATATTTCTGCAGATAGTGCGGATTAATTTTCACCCTATCCTTGCAGATTACATTCAATATGTCAAAGGAGTATATTTCATTTTCCAATGGGATTTATAGTAGACCGAGATGTTGTAGGGCTTTGGTGGGTTAGAAAAAGTTGTAGATTATTTAATTTTGTATAAATTTCCCGAATACTTCATTCATATTAATCGAATGGTTTAAAAGTTACAACAGTTATAATAATAAATACATTATTGATCATCAACTCTCTACATTCAGGGTCACCAATTAGCGCACGTTTTTTCCCAAATTTTGCAAATTGCTATCTAAATTATTTATAGAAAAATAACAATCAGAAATAAATACATATAAATATTAGTTTTTTAACGTTCACCTTCAATTACATTTTTAACTTTAGTTTTTATTTAAAAGTTGCAGCAATTTTTATAAATAAATGTACAAACATACATGCTTTTACATTTCATTTGCATTTTTCTACAAATATTTTCCTATCATGTTTTTTCTATAAATATATCTAAATCTAAGCAAGCAAGATGTTATTTTATCAAAATATATATTCTAAAGTATTTTTTTCGCCATTTTTATGCCTACATAGTTATATTTAATAGACGCCATTTCGTTTTATGATTTTTTTTTTCTTACAAGAAAAGGCACAAAGAAGTCAGATAAGGTTATATTTATATACAAACACCTATTTAGGGTTCCGTACCCGTATAAATCAACCACTGATGTAATAATAATAATAACAATAAATATAAGTATCGATATTTACAAACAAATAGCTATAAAACATATGTATATATAAATAATTTAATGATTTTTCGAAGACAACTACTGATTTTTATATAAATTGCTGATTTTTTATACAAATTTTTGTATACTATACTAAATTCCATACAAAATTTAGTAATAGCCAATTTATTTTATATGCAAATGCAAGTGAAATCTGATTTTGGAAAGGAGTATGATTATGGTGGCAGCGGTAATTTTGCATTATTTTGTTTATAACTTAAAAAATTTTGTAAAGTACGTAATTGTTGGTTTTAGCTACGTTATAGCTAGATAAATTATATTATATATATATATATATATATATACAAAGTATATCACGTACGAGATTAACTCTCATAGTTGCAAGAAAATTATCCTCGTGCTAGAAAATTATGATTTAATCTTGGAGACAATTTATGAATACTAATTATATATACACACACTCATATATATTTATATATATATATATATATGTGTGTGTGTGTGTGTGTGTTTTAGTCCTTCATCAGGATTACTATCTTTAATAATATAATGAGAATTTTCTAAATTAATTCTTACATTAGTGAGCGTTTAATTTTAACAAAATATTATCAGAGGTAAAAGATGAATTATTTCAATTTTAAAATAATTGGAAAAGTGTGTTAGTATATTTAAAAAAATTGGGAAGATGGGGGACAAAACATCTTTTTTTCATTGGAGTCAATCTAAAACTGACAAAAATAGTGAATTATTTTGAATTAGGAGCATTCGAATTTAAATGCGACCGACCTTTTATTAATAAATTTTAATATACTATACTGAATTCCATACAAAATGCAGTAAAAGCCATTTTACTTTATATGCAACTGCAAGTGAAATCTGATTTTGGAAAGAAGTATGATTATGGTGGCAGCGATAATTTTGCATTATTTTGTTTATAACTAAAAAAATGTACGAAATAAATAAATATTGCCTTTAGTTAAGTTATATCTAGATAAAATATCTACAAAATTCAAAAATTATCTAAAATAAAGACAAGATTCAAGACAAGATTTACCTAAAATAAAGTTTCATTACTATAATTGCATTTTATTCTTGATGTTTGGCCAAACTTGCAAAAGTAGGAAAGATTTTTATAAATTCGTTTATAACTAAAAAAATATACGAAATAACTAAATGTTGTCTATAACTGAGTTATATCTAGATAACTTATCTACAAAATTTTCAATAAAGTTAATAATAAAAGTTTCATTACTGTAAATTGCATTTTAGTCTTGACGTTTGGTCAAACATGCAAAACTAGGAAAGATTTTTATACATTTCTACAATTTTTATTTCACCTTGAAGAATGTATATCACACACATATATACATATATATATGTATATTATATATATATATTTATATATATATATATATATATATATATATATATATATATTTAAAATTCACACCTCACCTCCGAAATCTACTTCATCTTCTTCCTCTAAAAATCCTCTAAAGTCTATACTTCTCACAAACTACTCAAATATTCTACCAAAATATCGTTTTTATTGAACCCACTACTTATTATATACACCACTAGTTCTTACATCATTCAATTAAATATTTTTCCGAATTTTTCCTATTTTTACGCAATTTATTTTTACGAAAATTGCCGAAGATCTCTCTCGACACGTCCGCTCGCTTCGGCTTTCGAAGCGCTACTAAACGCAAAGTATCGAAATCTGAGCTTTTGATAGGCGAAAAGCTTAAAGAAGGTAATACGTAACATATACGTAACATTTAGGAAACTAGTTCATAGTGGTAATTTGCCTTGAGGCAAGTTGTATGAACTTCCCATCAGAAAATAATCAACTTAATTAATTAGAATTGAGATACAGATATTTAGGTAAAATGTTTAGAAGTTTATTTGGAAAATAAAATTTTGGTTTTTACTAAATAATAATCAATGTGATTTCCAATTGATATCTTTCAAACCTATTACAATATCTGTAAAAGTGTTCAAAACATTTACTTATTCCATATTTTTTTAGCTATAAACAAATTCATAAAAATCTGTTCCAGTTTTGCATGATTGATCAAAAGTCAAAACTAAAATGCTATTTACAGTAATGAAACTATATTTTAGATAAATCTTGTTTTTGAGTAGATAATTTATTTAGCTTAAGTCAACATTCACTTACTTTGTATGATTTTTTAGTTATAAACAAAATAAAGCAAAATTACCGCTGCCACCATAATCATACTTCTTTCCAAAATCAAACTTCACTTGTTGTTGCATATAAAATAAAATGGCTTTTACTAAATTTTGTATTGAATTAAGTATAGTATATTAAAATCTAATAAAAAAGGTGCACTTATTACAAGCGCTGCCCATCATTCCAAACTTTAATAAATTATCACTTGTCATAGGCCTATAATATTTTAGAATGTTCGTTAACACTATATTCACTATTACCGTACAAAATAATATTTCAATGAAAATTTTTAACAATAATGAAATCTATTTGCCCAAAAACTGATATTCTTAGAACTTTCAATTTATCAAAATCGGTTCAGTACACGAATTATTTTGAGCTTTGCTATTTATTTTACAAAAATTGCTTAGAAGATAATCTTATAAAACTAACCAACGCGAGAATCCTTATCGAAATTCATTGTACGACCTTGAAATTTTTGAAATCGGTACAGCCGTTTCTGAGCAAACGTTGAGAAGGGTCAAATTTCAGCACTCCTGTACTTTTTTCAAATTTGGTGTCAAAGGCTTCAGAATGATTCGTAACATCCACAAAACGTAAGATTTGCAGGACGGTTTTTCTGGCAAAAATTTCTGTTCAAAAATATTACGTAACACACGTAACAAATGTGACATTTTAAATAATTAGAGATTTGCCATTTTAAGGAATTGAAGATGTATGTAAACTATAATTATATATATATATATATATATATATATATATATATATATAGTTTTACATTAACCCCTGATGAAGGCATATTCATGACAAACAAAAAGTATCCACTCATCTAATTAATCACGTTAAGTGCACAAACCGCACTGAGAGGGAAATTCAATCAATAAAATTATATAAAGGTAAATATATATGTATATATATATATATATATATATATGTGTGTGTGTGTGCATGTATACCTTTACTTTCTCTTATGTTACTTCTCAAACTTGTGCTCCTGTGCCTCATTTTTCAGTTCTCTAGAATTTGTCTTCTCATGCAATTGTTCCAATAACTACATTTTTCTTCGTCCTTATACATTCAGTTTAATCTTACTTTCAATGACGTCATACAAGAGGCATTTTCGACCAAAATGCTCTCACCCAGTTTTTTTTTTTCTTCTATACAGTAAATACCTTTTTCTCTAGCATACCTTGCAATACTACTTTATTTGATCTCTGTGTGAATGCTTTTCATTTACATCTCTAAACAACCCCTGAATTTCTATAGAGTCCATGTTTCTGATCTGTATAGAGCCAGAGGCTACATGTATTTCACCTATTTTTCATCTATTTACCACCTTTCATCTTTTACCACCTGTTATTTCACCAATTTGACTTCAAAATGAATATGAAACACCAAAATGTGCAAAGTCTATTATTGTTTTATTGTTCTCCTAATTACAATTAGTGTATCATCTGTCTCTAAAAACTGCATTTCTAACGATCCAATCCAAATAAGAGTTGACCCTTGTGTAGACTCCTGGTTTTCCTGGCTCACCACATCGTATTCCCCAACTGACGACACCAATGAGAACCCAACGACCGTTTGTTGATAGTTTGTGGACTAAGGGACCGCCACTGTCACCCTGGGAGAGAAAAAAGTAGATGATGATGGAGAAGATATAGATTTCAAAAGTATCTGGTTATGACTGATGGTGACAGAATAATTGATTTCATAGAAGGTCTTCTGCTCTTTGTCCAGATTAGCCTAAAAACTTGTTTTTGTGCCAACTTTTTTACCTGCCTACTCTGTGCTTGTTTAACTTTTTTATAACTGCTAATTTGCCAGATAAATAGTCTCCAAGAAGCTGAAACGTATTTACTTGGCAAAATATTTGTCTGGTCTTGTATTTGTCTGATAACGTATTTACCAGACGAACTGATTCACCAAACATTTACCAAAGAAAACTGATTCACTTAAAATATTATCACCAGCAAACTTCTGGCTAAAAAGAACCTTCTCCTTACTTCTTACCTGACAACTGTCCTTTCCTCCTCGTTTACTGCTCGCACACAAAACCGAGCTCACCAGCTTCTGGTGCGCAAAAGCATTAGTACAATCCCTCTGGTTCCAAACAGGCACCGCAACTTCCCTCAAACCGCCTTTATTCAAAGGACCTCCATAATAGGAACTGCCCCAACCTGAAAACAATAAAAATAATCATACATCCCTGGAATATATCAACAAAGATCTTCCTCTTACCAGTGACCACTGCCATCTCGTTCTCCCAAGTGCTGCCAATTGGCGGCAGACAGACTGGGGATATTCTAAGGTCGTAAGATCGAATTGGTTTTGATAGTCGGATGATTGATATGTCGTGCTCGTAGGATGAAGGATCGAAAGATCGATGTTGGCGGATTTCGGCAACTGTAAAAGATCCTTCTGGTCTGGTTGATGAGAGATCTGTTTCGCCTAGACGGACGAAGAGGTCTCGCGGCCTCATTCTGGTAGAAAATAGTTGGTATAGAGCCTAATGAATTATTGCTGAGACTTGGGATGTTTGTAAAAGTTGTAGATAGTTTAATGTTATACCAATGATTGGAATTCAGATTAAAGGAATTGTTTAAAAGTTGTGGTAGAGTGGTTTTATTTAGCTAATGAATCAACTATCAAAAGTGCTTGAATGCAACATTACCAAGATTTGTAACCTACAAAATTTCCAACCAACTAATTCTATTTTCTACCAACATCCATAAATCCATCTTCTCACCCAACTTACCTATTTGTGCAATGAGCAGCTGTCAAAACGTGTCTATCAGTAATCAAGGAGCCTCCACAAAATAATTCCAAAGGTCCTGTGTTGGAAAAACTTTGAGAATGCCTGAACAGTGCTGCCATCCATGGCCAACGGCCAGGATTTGCAGGTTGGCCACCTGCTATGCGCAAAGGGCCACGGGCCGAACTTGTACCACAACCTGGGTGATAGATACGTGTGTTCTTTTTTTAGTTTTTTCAGTACAACTTTTTTTCTGATAGGTTGTTCTAGATTTAGAAACTAGATAAAATTTAATAAAACTTATGCGAATTAATATTTTTACTATAATGTTTTCCTAGAGGAGAAAACTGTGCCTAAATTGAGAAATATTTTTGAAAATCGTTGAAACATATGTCTTTTATTTTCTGACCTTTATAAGGTTTCTGTTGTCCTCCATTCTGTGGCGGGGGACCCAAAGGTAACTCTGTGGGTCGTTCGCCCCATGATGGGGCCTCCTGGGGCGATTTTGTGGGAAAAAAAAAGCGTTCGTTTAAATCTTCTGGACAACAGACTCCTGCGTATCTGGATAATAAAACATCCGTTTTTCTTCGCCATTTTTTGAGTATACTAAGTTGTTGTATGGTCTTTTGTTGTTAGAAAAAGTTGTATATAATTTAATTTTAAATAAATTTGTCTTATACATTATTTGTAATAATCGAATCGTTTGAAAGGTACAAGAGATATGATAAGAAAGTGCACTGACTTGCACGTTTAGTTTTGCTGTACTATTACAAGTACAGTGGGTCAATATAATGATAATCAATATTTATTATTATTATTATTATTATTATTATTATTATTATTATTATTATTATTATTTCACCTGTTATCGATTTCGCAAGCAATTTCTTCGTATTTTGTAAAATTTTGCATAAACTCTGGCAAAATGCAAAAACGAAAATGTCGACAAAATCTTGTGGATCCATCTGCCAATGTTTTGTTGCAAACTTGGTGAAATTCATCGGTCTAAAAATAATAATATATATTATAAATATAAATATATATATTTTTTTATATTTTTACTTACTTGGTTTGTTGCAATTTCCAAAATTTTAAATTCAGATTTGTTGCTATTTTCTTGTTGCAAATTTATATGTATATTATTATTTGTAGAAATTAACCATGATGGTAAAATATCTGTTGAAATTCAATATATTCGTTGAAAAATTTAATTAAAATATTATTATTACTGCAAAATTTAATTAATTTTTAATTAATTATAATTATTAATAATACATTTCTTACCATAATAAACCTCTTCAGAATTTTCATAAACGTCTTCACACAAAATAGCACCAAATTTGCAAATTAAAAATAATAATTTAATTTTATAAACTATTTTAAATATTGTTAAAGACATCATTCGAATCAAGTTTCTTTTTACACTAATGGCTTTGTCGATTTTTTTTATTTATATATATATAAATTTCTAATCGCCTAAATGATAAAATATGCTGGTACTTTTGAAAACATATAAATATACATGAATATTTACATATTTATATACATATATGTGTATATATGTATACATAAATGTATATACAAATTTCCCAAAAATATTTCTCTTGATAAAAAAAATTAGAACGTGAAATACTAAACTGATGATAAAAAAAATGATTTCCAAATTGTAAATTAGAAACTATTTTTGTACTCTTATTATTAACATGTATACATCATTAATATTTAACTTTTCCACTCGGATGCCGCAAAATTCACATAAATTCGCGAGTGGAAAGGGTTAATATAGGTGTTCATTTAACCTTTATGGCGAAAAATAAGTTTCCAATTGAAAATAGCCCATTTCGGGCACTGCGGTGTGAAAAGGCAATGAGAAATCCCGCAAACTAGTCTTCCCTGAACCGATATGGAGTTTAACTCAGCTTATGAACCTGCCTTAAGGCAGCACTGCCCATTATCAATGAAACAATCAATTTTATATTTATCTATTTTTCCTAGTAAAGTTCTCAAAGTTATTTAAAATATATAATATATGCAACACGTCGATATGATTCCGTTTAAGACGATTTCTCGCTTAATATGTTACTTTGAGGCACCCTGCGTACCATACCCTGTACGTTAAGGCATATTGCCCCTATCCTTTAATAAAGTACTCAGGGCTTTCTAAAATATGATTTTTTTTTATTATATCCCTTATAACTTTAAAATTATTCGATTAGTATGAATGATGTATAAGGCGTTTGAAGCCGCGCTCTAAATAACCGCTGATATCATGCAGTAGTGATATCAATTTTCACTTGAAAATATAGATAAAAATATGCTTGCTTTTGAAAATAGCCCATTTCGGGCACTGCGGTGTGAAATGGCAATGGGAAATCTCACACTATTCTTTCCTGAATGGAGTTTAACTCAGCTTATGGATCTGCCCTAGGGCAGTACTAACCATTATTATTATAATTGATATATCAATCAATTTTCTATTCATCTATTTCTCCTAATTAAAGTTATTTAAAATATAATATATACAGGAATACAGCAGAACCACGTCGATATAATCTCGCATAATACATTTCTTTAATAAAGTATTCTCGCATAATACGTTTCTTTAAGGCGGCCTGAAAATGATTTTGTTATTATATCTCTTATAACTATAAAACCATTCGATTAATATGAATGATGTATAAGACGTTATTCGAATCCTCGCTCTAGATAACCTGATATCATGCAGTAGTGATATTAATTTTCACTCTAATTGAAATTAAACTATTTTGGGCACTGCGGTGTGAAATGGCAATGGTAAATCCCTCACACTATTCTTGCCTGAATTGAGTTGGAGTTTAACTCAGCTTAAGAACCTGCCCTAGGGCTGTATTACAATTATTTTTATTTTTATCTATTTCTCCTTAAGACGATTTCTCGCATAATACGTTACTTCAAGGCAGACCCTGCACGTTGAGGCATATTGCCCCTATCCTTTAGTAAAATACTTAGAGCTTTCTAAAAATGATTTTTTTATTATATCTCTTATAACTTCAAAACCATTCAATTAATATGAATGATGAGATAAGACAATTTTGTTTAAAATTAAATGTTCTACAACTTTTTCCAAATATATTGAGCCCTACCTCAACTCGGTATACTTAAAAATTAGAAATTACATTTAGAAGTGAGTGAAAATTTATGAAATATTCAAAGGTACCTATCCACGGATTTTTTAACTAAATTTTTACTATTTACTATATTGGCAATTACCATAATGCCCTATAGCAACTTGGTATACTCTGAAAACCAAAAACATGATACACCACAGAAAATCTTCATAAAACACACATATATTAATACTGAAACGGATGTATTTCTTTATAAAATATACAAAAATAATTATCTCTTAACTAAATATTCCCCAAACTATTATTACTACTTCCACCGTTGCCCAAATTGACATTCCCACCAGCCCCAGTTCCTCCAGACACAACATTCTGCCCGACACCAGCATTGCCACCGATCAGATTGGCATTGGTTGCAGCCAGATTCACATTGACATTCATATTCTGCTGCTGCTGCTGCTGCTGCTGTTGTTGTTGCTGTTGGTTAGTGCTGCTACTACTGCTGATGCTGACTGGTGTGCTTGCGGCTGGGGTATTCTGTCCACTGGGGTTGGTCGAGGGGGTAGTGGAAGATGATGAGATTTCGTCGACGTTGAGATGAGCTATGAATCTGAGGCGCATCTGGAGAGCTGGTCGGAGTCTTCTGACTATTGGTTCTACTTCGCTGCGCATCATGTCGCCGACGAACATGTATTTGATGTGATACCTGGGGGTAAAGGATAATTAGTGAAAGATCAAGAGGTTGAATCTACAATTGGACAAGGAAAACCACAGGTGCATTCTGAATCAATACTTTTCCAATCAGATACTTCTGGATAAATCATGATAGATCATATATTTTGGATGACAAAGACAATTTGGATGACAAAGACACCAAGACAAGAAGTTAGCAAAGACACCAGTTGCAGGAGATAATCAGACATCATTTTCAATACAGGAACGACTCTGTCTCATTTCACAATAGCTCTGATGAATATTAGTAAAAAAACAAAATCCTGGAGATCCGAGATCCTGGATTAATGCAGGTAGAACTTAACTTCCAACATAAATTGAAATGGATTGCAGATAAAGGTCAAGCTGTTGTGATTGTGATGTAGTAGTAGATTTGACATCAGATACTTCTGGATAAACCATCATAGATAATATATTTTAAAGACAATTTAGATGACAAAGACACCAAGACAAAGAGTTAGCAAAGACACCAGTTGCAGGATCAATAATCAGACATCAATTTCAATACAGGAATGACTGTAGTTTTATTTCATAAAAGTTCTGATAAATCAACAAATTTAACCAGGAGAGATTCTGGATTAAATGAGAAAGAACTTAATTTCCAACTTCCAACATAAATTGAGATGAATAGCAGATAAAGGTCAAGCTGTTGTGATTGATGTAGTAGTAGATTCGACATCAGATACTTCTGTATAAACCATAATAGATAATATATTTTAAAGACAATTTAGATGACAAAGACACCAAGACAAAGAGTTAGCAAAGACACCAGTTGTAGGATCAATGATCAGACATCAATTTCAATACAGGAATGAATGTAGTTTAATCTCACAAAAGTTCTGATAAATATTTTAGATAAACAAAATTAACCAGGAGAGATTCTGGATTAATTAAGGAAGAGCCTAACTTCCAACTCTATCAATTAAAATGAGTAGCAGATCTATCAATTAAAATGAGTAGCAAATTAAGGTCAAGCTGTCATAATGGTGATGTAGTAGAAGATTGTACAACTAGATACTGATAAAACTTCTAAAATTGGAGAACACAACTTAGAGGACCAAATAATTAAACTAGATGACAAACAATTAGTAAAGTGATCAGATGCAGATGATAAATAAAAAATGACACTCCAAATTCAATCAAAAGATTGGATCCAAAGTAATGACAGCACAGGACCAGAAGCAAAAAGAAGTTATTCCAAGAAGCAAAAAAAGGTAGACACCTATTGATTTTACAGTCTCTACAAGATTGGCAGAGTCTGTTGATGCATTGCTGACAAATCAATGTCGATGCACTGATCACAAAACAAATTAGCAAAATGATCAGGTGCAAGATCAAAAATGAGACTCCAAATGCAATCAAAAGAGTGGATTCAAAATAAAGACCAGAACTGTAGTCAGATTCCACAGATAGAAGTTCTTCCCAAATAGCAAAAAAGGTGGACAACTACAGATTTTACAGTGTACAGATTAGCAGAGTCTGCAATAGTCTAACTGAATAACTAAAAATGATTAGAATCCATCATCATAAACATTACTTTAAATTTTTATCTTAATGCACTGATACCAAATTTAAACAGGACAAACTTAACTGCTGAATAGTCTTAAAATTTATACATAAACACACACACACACACACATATATATATATATATATATATATATATATAAATTTATAATTTTTTTCCTTACAGAAGATCACAGACAGGATCCATAAACTCCAAATGCTGCTGAGTCTTATCAACTTGCTCTAATTGCTCATAGAGTGCCTGTGCCAACTCGATGACTGCTCTTGGTCTTTCAGAATTGTACCTTTGCAGAAATGGACCCACCAGATGGCACACAAACAATAACTGGGCCTCGGTTCGTACTTTTATTTCTTTTATAAACCTAGAATGGAAAAATAAATTATAAATATATATATATATATATATATATATATTATATTATATTATGTATTTGTTACTTACTTGGGCACTTGGGCAATGTGTCCAGGGCCGGCATGGTGCCAAACCGCATGGGCACTTGCCAGGGCTAAACTGAATTCGCATTCTAAGGCGCATTGGGACGACTGAGCAAAGTTGTACAGTAGGAATGGGGAATGTCTAAAATAATAATAATTATGATTATTATTAATTAAATTTACTTTATTATTATAGCAATTTTTAGAACTTTGCTGATGATCGTTCTACAAATACAACTCTTGCTTTATTGTTACTATATTTACTTGTAAGGCCATTGCACCATCTCCTTAGAATTGATGACCTGGAGCAATCTTTCATGTAAAACACTCCAATATGATTCGGGCAATGATGACAGGATCAAACCAACACAGTTTATCCAACTGTAGATTTCTGTTGGCGGTATCACTGTGTACCTGCCAATAATAGAAAGTTGGTTTATTATAACTCTTGCTGCAACTCTTAAAAAATTCAATGAATTTGAATTATGCTTTTGGCAAATTTGTGCAAAATTATCTACAGCATTGTTTAAGACCTCAATACCCTACAGCAATTTGGCATAATCAGAAATCTCAATTAAACAAAAATCTTGTACCAAATTACATCCTGTCCTTTAAACAAAGTGCAAGACTTTTTGCTTCTTCTTTATCCCTTCTCTTTTTGATGTCTTATACTTCAATTTTTATCTCTATTTCTTACCCTTTGGTCAGGACGTCCAGAAGGCCTCCTGCAACCAGGGGAGGACCCACTGGGAGCCCCATGGGCATTAAATTAAATTATCTACAATTATTTAAGACCTCATAACCCTACAGCAACTCAATATACTCAGAAATCTCAATTAAACAAATATTGTACCAAATTACATCAAACTGCAAGACTTTTGCTTCTTCCTGTATCTTTCATTATTTTGATGTCTTATTCTTCAATTTTTATCCCTTATTTCTTACCCTTTGGCCAGGACGTCCAAAAGGCTCCTGCAACCAGGGGAGGACCCACTGGGAGCCCCATCAATTCGACACAAGTAGCATAAAGGGCATGGGCAGAGGCGTTAGGGAATTCGTTGAATCTCCAATCCACTCCTGAGAAGTGATTTACTGTACCGGACATAGCTAAAAAAATATTAATAATATTAGTATTGGTGTGCTATTTATGGTACAGTAACTTTGAACTGAGTAATTTCTGGTGCATTAATTTGTTACAATTCTTGTAACGTTTGAATCATTTGATTAATCTGAATGATGTATTAGAGAAATTGGTGCAAAATTAAATGGCCTACAATATTATCAAACATCATAATACTGTACAGAAACTCGGAATACCCAAAATTGACAATAGGACAGGATAAATATCCACAACAACTATTAAAGTTTTTTCTCCTTGATTAACTAATATTATAATTAAAGTAAATGCATATTTAATATTGATAAAATTATTGATAATAATAAATATAATCTTAAGTTAATAAATAAAATAATTTTACTTACTTTCAACCATCCTTTTAACTAAGGAAATATAATAAGATAAATCAGGAATCCATAAAACTGCTTCAGTTTCAGGTTTTAACATAAAAGCCTAAAAAAATTATAAATATTATTTATAACCCTAATAATTTATCATAATATTTTGCAGTATTTTACCTGATAAGTTTCACTAAGAGCCCAATTTGGAGGCCTTATATCTTTCAAGGACCCCAAAATTGCAGAAACCTAAAAAAAATATAAAATAATAACTAATATATATATATATATATATATATATATATATACACATATATATTATATATTATTATTATTATTCTTTTATTACCAGTCTTCTTTTCAAAGGTGGACTGTCCCTGATTTTTCGTTCATAATAATGTAAAGTATTATATAAATATGTCACCGGACGGTCTAATAAATGGAAAATTAATTAATTAATCTATTATCAATTAGTATTTGTTAGTAATGATTTAATTAATTAGTTATTTTACCATGGAATTTATATAAACATCCTAAATGATCCAAAAGTATTTCCAAACTTTTTCGAACTGCAGATATTTCCAAATATCTATGTATTACTATATCAAATACTGGAAGAAACCTGAAAAAATAATAATTATATTATTAACTATATTTTTATTTTTAAATTTATTATTAATATATTATTTATAAGCTATACATTAAAACTATTTATTTAACAAAACGCTACTAAAAATATTTAATGTGCAAAACAATTTACAAGTATAAAATATAACTAAAATTCATATTTTTCAAGAGAACACATCGATTTTAGTATTTTTTACATTTAGAACTAATAGAACTAGGATATCGAACTAATTTGAAATTTGCTTTTTCAACTTTTAAGTTATATAGCTACGATATATATGTACTTTTCTCAAATAATTATAGATATCTCAAAAATTTCTAATTCTAAAATTAAAAATTCTAAGAGAATTCTTTCTTATCAGTTTTAGTATTTGTCATTATAGTAGACTTATTGAGGTATAACATTCTCAAATTCACTATCCTATGAAAAAAAGTATAGCTTTAAAAAAAAAACTCAAAAAATTATAATACACTTTTGAAATATTATTCAACCCCAAAAATATAAATTATTTAATATTTTAAAATATCATTTAAATATTAATTAAAACTAATTGAAAATGTAAATAAAATTATTGAGAGATTTTACAAACCTTAAACAAACATTTCCAATAAAACTGGAAGAGGACTGTAAGCTCCTGTAGGATTACTTTCTTCGGGGGCAAACTTTTCTGGATATTTTCTGTGGAAAGCCAAATGCTTTTCATGCCTAAATATAAATAGATATAAAAATAAATCATATATATAATATTATATATATATATATTATATATAATTCATTTTTACCAATTGGATTGCTTCCAATGCTCTGGACTATTTCCTTCACGAAATCATGAACTCTATTTCTGACTTCAGATGCTTTTAACAATAATAATTGTATTATGAAAAAGCAAACTTGAGCTTCACTGCCTTCTTGGGTCCTTAAAGCCTACAGAAAAAATTGTGAATTAATAAATTTAATCTGCTGCACAATATTTAGTGTAGTAAATTTCTATTATATTTACTAGGCACAAGACAAGCCGATCAATTGTAATAATATTATATTTCCAAATCATATCATTAATGGTGTCCACACATTTGTTGACTTGTTGTTGTCCTGCAGAGGTCGTCACTTCAAACACAAAATAATCACAGAATTTACGGAGATGTGCAGACAAGGCCCTTGCACCTAAAAAAAGGAGCCATTTATAAAACAGTGAAAAAATTTTTGTAAAATTTGACTTATTATCCTTTATTTACCAATCCTTTCTAAAATCTTATAAGCTACAACACTGACACGATCAGTCTCGAGGATCATCTTCCACAGAAGACAAAGGAACAACGGTGGTGTTCCAGCAACACTAAAATGAGCAATTATATCATTCTCGTTGGACATACAACTCCAATTTCTGAACTCCTCATCAACTGACTTCTTCAACTGTTGTCTGTTCTCTTTTGGAACAGGATTCTGAAAGGAAAAAGACCAAGTTATGAATTGTGCAGGAGTATTTTCTCCTGAAATATTTTTTTCCTTACCTGTGTGAAGAATTCATTTAGGACATTTGGGAAGCACTGTAAAGTGTGATTGGCCCACGAGTGTGGTGTGTTTTGCATTATGGTATTCAGGAGTTCTTTGCACCAGGCACCAGAGATGTTATCAGAACCTAGGAGAAAAGAATTGAATTCATTGTACTATTTAAAATCCAGTTAAAACTAGCTTAAAGTTGGTATATGCATTTTGTAATATTTGGAGCATGGCTCTGTAGGGATCAGAAATATGAATTATAAAAAACATGAGCAAATCTACCTGAAGAGCTCTGAAATGTGGTACTGGAGATGAATGGAGAAGATAAAGTGGACATACATAAGAAATTCAGTAGTGGTGTAGAATGACTCTCAGAAAGACCACTAATAAATTAATCTCTTGTAAGTTATAAACCAGTTAAATAATGTCAAACATCATGATGTTCCAGAACAACTCTAAAATCACGGTATTACCTGTTCCAGTAATATGCATTGACCGGGCCAATGTCAACACAAGTGCCCTGTTGAGCTCTTCACTTTCTGCAGAGACCAAAGCTTTGGGTTCTGATAGAAATCTGCTTAACTGAGGTTGAACCTGAAAATATAAAAATAGATGCAATTATATATATTATAAATGTATACATGAATGTATATATATTTACCTCATGACTTCCTAAACCAGTGATCAACCTCAAAGCAGTACTTTCAACACTGAAAGATACAAAACAGTTTTAATCAATTCTTAATTGATACTTCTAAATCAATCTACTAACCATAATGCAATTGTGTCTGATTGGTCTGAGGAACAGCAGCCAAAGAATGCAAATGTGACAACAACTGCACCCTATAATGTGGGTGAATATGGTGCATCCGATAGGAAAACATTTCAACAACGTAAACAAGATACCCCAAGCATGAGATTTGAAGACTGTTGGCAAGAGTTGACCTAAAAATGGACAATACATGATGCAATGCAGTTTTTAGTACCAATTTTTATGCGTGCGTACTTATAAATCCTTTTATTCCCAAGCTCTCAATTTCTGTGTACACCAGCAGTCTTGAATAAGTTTCAACAAGTGCAGGAGCCATGTTGCTCTGTCCTGGAGAACTTTTGTTTTGTGTCTGTGCCAACTTGATGACATGAGTGACCACCGAATGGATCAAAGACATCTTTGAATGCACTGTTAAAGATCTAGGATGCTCATAGACAAAGGAACCTAAAATCAAACTCAATTACAATCCTGCTGGATAAGACCATAAGTCCTTCTCCTTTATCCCTCACTATTGGCATGCTGCCAGAGTTTCCAGCGCTAGTTCCAGAAGCAGTTCCACTCCCCAACTGCTTCACCTCCCGCTCCACTCACACTGCCGGTTCCTGAAGTATTGGGAGCCATGGTTGACTTCTGGTTTCCTAAAATTGTCTCTACCAATGCTGCCATCGGTCTGGAAAAGTTGTCCTGGTTTGTGGAATAGGCATTGCAGAGGAGCACTATTCGGTAGTCTGAACCAAGACAGAGGGATGTGTTGTGGGCATCACCAGATGTTGGAGGAACCTGGAAATGGATAAAAAAAATTAGACCATTCAGGAAAGTATTTTTGTGTTCTTTTACTCTTACTCATGGTGATGTTTAAGAGTTATTGGCAAAGGTCTATGCAAAGCACAAAAACATAAGTTGAGTGAGCCTTTTTGGATGATCCAGATGCAAGTTGCAGCCATTCTATGGGTGCATTGTGGTTTGTTAAAATCAGGTACTGGTAAAGGCTCTTTCTCGGGTACAGTAAGTCATACAGGCGCAACACTGGCAGAAAATTAGTCAACTAAGAAAAAATATTAATTATTCATACTGGACAATGTATTTTGGAACAATAGTTGTTTATTTGTACATACAGGATTTCTCTGAATGCTGCCTGATATGAATTGCAGGAGTACCCACATTAAATGATCTCTGCCTTTGCGCAAATCTCTTCCGGACAACTAAAAATAATATTATTGAAACCTCATCTAATTTTTTTATCACATTCCTTTATTACCTTATCATATAAAGCAGTAACAACACTTGAAAAGTTGGCAAACTGAAACAGTACAAAATAAATCAACTGAGAAGACAAATGTAACCACAACCAATGAGTCTGGGAGCTGGTGCAAGTGTTGTCATCAGATTGACTTGCTCCAGAAGGCGTAGTTCCACTGGTAGATCCTGGAGTTCCTCCAGATGCTGATGCAGATTGAGAAGAACTACTTGGGGATGAGATGGTATCAGAAGTGTCTTGCTCAGAACGCTCCATTGCTAAAACCACTAAAGCTACCAGTTGCTCCTCCAGGGCTATACATCTTTGTTTGTGCTGAAGTAAAAGACTCATCAGTTGTAACATGCTATTTTTATTTACCTGACTATGCAACATACTTGTTTTTGAAGTCCCAGTATCGAGCAAACCATATCTCTGGAATAAGGTTGTTCCAAAACATATCTCAGCAATTCAGTTTGTGGCTTCAACAAATCAGCATCATATGGCAAATTTCCTGCAAACAAACAAACAAATATAAAATATTCATTTATAAATCTTTATATCTTTTTTTTACCTTTCAAAGAAAACTTCAAAGTAGTGCTGTCTAATTTCCAGGGATTTATAAGATGATCAGCGTAACCAGTATGTTCTACAACTGGTAGCATATGAGAATGTCCAATAACTGACACCATTTGGGCAGTTGCTCGAAAGCTTTCCACAAAGGATGAGAATAGATTGGCTAATTTCTGCAAAATATAAATTGAAACATTTATAATGCAAAATATTTATTTAAACAATTATTGGCACCATTGCTGATTGATGATGTGATACTTACCCAATGTGGCCAATTTTTGTTATCAGGATAAGCCTTTTGTATTTCAGTCACTATAAAGTAACCAGGAAGCAAACAAGCATTTCTATCAAAGATGTATTCAATCACATTTTCCAAAGCTCTCAATTGTGGTACAGAGCTGGAATTCAAGACCTGGGGCAGTGTCTGGGCCTTTTCTCTGCAACCCTGAGGAAAAGAAATGTCTCAATAACTAAATAAGAGTCCAATGAGTAATAAAATCTAAATATTGGTACCTTCATGATCTCTCTAACTCCTTTATAGTCAACACCCCCAATGATCCTGCGCATCAAATTAAAACATTCAATCCAGAACTCCTGGTTTTGGTAAACCAGCTTCTCGCAAGCCAGGATGCTCTCACAAACCACCCTGGAAGAAAATACATGCATATATATATATATATATATATATATATATAAACATATATAATTATTTATTACCTTGGTGGTAAGACATTGCTCCCAACTAATTTTTCAAGAAGTCCCAACAAACATTTCAACTTGCTGTGGTTAGTTAAAGTTGCTGTTTGTTTTAAATAATATTTGATAGCAGCTTCTAAATTTTCTTGAGACAACGATGAAAAAATTGTGCCCAATTGAGATTGGTATTGAGCCATGGATTCATTTTCTGCGTCATTTTTGTGGGATAGAAAACAGGAGAAGGATTCTTCTATCCCATCAACTTTCTGGAGAAGAAAACAATCATTTAAATAAAGAAATATTTATATAAACAAATAAGTAAATAAATCTACATATGGTAGTTAATTAATTGATTAGTGAACATAATATATATATAATAAAAACTATCATTTCAAAAAAAATTTATGATAAATCAATGAAAAATTCTTGCATTTTATAAGCCTATTTTTAATCCTACAAGTTTTCTTGTTGTCCTGTTAGGTTAGGTAAGAAAATTATTGTATAATAATAAAAATAAAATAATTGAAATACTAAAAGCAGGAGGACAATATAAAATGATGAGTAATTTACCAGATAAGGCTATTACAATGTAAAATATTATTATAAAGACAAAAATGATACAAACATTGAATAATGATAAAAGTCTTGTTAGCCTAATATTTTTTAATTTTAAAAAAATTGATGATAAATCGATGAATAACTTTTACCACTCAACAACAGGACAAGCCTGAAATTTTGTATTTTTAAAGCATTCTTATATTACTACAATTTTTTACTATTATACATGTTGTTAGGTTAGGTATAAAAATTATAATAATAATTAAAAATAAAAAAATGAAAAAGTAATTGAAATACTAAAAGCAAGAGGATGATGTAGAATGATGAGTAATTTACCGGATATAACAATTACGATGTAAAATATTATTGTAAAAACAAAAATGGTACATTAATTGAATAATAATAAATGCATCGTTAAACTAATATTTTTATAAACTTTCATTTCAAATGAAATCGATGAATAGCTTTTACCACATGAATACATTAACAACAGGACAGGCCTGAGATTTTGTATTTTTTAAAGCCTTCTTATATTACTACAGATTTACAATTATAATTTTACACGTCATGTTCGGTCAAGCATATAAATTCATGTATAATAATAAAAAAAAAGGACCGCAATTAAATTTAAAAAGTAATAAAAAGATCCAAAGCAAGAGGACAAATGAAAAACAGTTCAAAATAAAAGTATTCTATGGATTTTAGCATTTTTTACAACAATTTACTGTTGTTATTCTTAAACGACCAAGAAGTCTTTAGTAGAACAAGAATGACTTATAGATATAAATATTTATAATATATAACAATATTTATTGTATTTATTGTATTTATATTTATTATATATATATATATATATAAATATATACAATTTATATATTAACTAAACTTACTAGTATATTATTAATAATAGTATTTATCTGTGTCTCTTGAGACATTTTGCTCCAAAATACATATAACACTATTTATATTATGAAAATGTTATAAAATTACAAAATATCATTTAGGAATGTCAATGTTTACATTTTATTAACGTTTAAACAGTCTTTATAATTTAATATTAATATTTATTTTAGTTTTATTAACAAATCACTCCTAACCTCAAAATTTTGACAGAATAAGACTAAATATGAAAGTACGTTCGGAAACTTGTATTAAATGACTAAATATTATTTAATAATATTTTTAATATCATTTTATTATTATTTTAATGTAATTTATCACATTTGTTTAAGTTTATTCAGTCACAAATCAATTCTAACCTAAAAGTCTAACTTTCAGTCTAATTTGCATGTCATTATAAACAAAATGGCTGAAAGAGACATCTATGAGGTTTGGCAAACTTTGAAATAGCGCCAAATTCAAAGTTTTGGATGTTTTTTTTTTTTGAAATTTTTAATCTTAACTTTTAAATTAGTTAATAAAATTAGTTGTAAGTAGCATTTTGCCTTAAGGCTAGTTACATGAGTTTGTAAATACTTGACTTTATCAACAAGAATTAGAATTATCAATTTACATAAAATCATAGATAAAAGAAGAGTTATTATGGATAAAATGTGAAAACTATTTTCAATTGATATCATTGAAACATACTAATAATATCTATAATCATATAAATGTAATTAATCCATTACCTTCCCGTAGGGTAAGTTATTATAATCGTCTAAAAATCGAAATTGATACTTTTTGCATATCTTCACGTTTCAAAGGTTTCTGAACATTTTGGCATACCTCAAAAAAAAAATGGATGTGTGTGTATGTATGTATGGTTACAATTTTTCGTCCCAAGGATCAACCGATTTCAATGATTCAAAAACATTCGATTTCCATTGATAGGGAGATGTGGTGATCAGTTTTTAGCTAAGATTGATCCAGCCGTT